CGGCCTTACGTAATGGTATTTTTAAACGTTATCGGGTTTTTACTGTTGTCATTCGTGAAATGCTATCAGCATTATCTCGAGAAGTATTTGGTCTAAAAATATGATTCCGACATTAGATTATTCAGTTTATCATGTATGTTATTAATAAAGTATAAAATAAATAAGACCACCGGCGGCCTAAAGGCGCTATGGTAATATTCCTTATCGCCATACGCCACTTGGCAGCCGGCTGTCGTAATAGAATGTTTATGTTATACCGCGATTCGTGTCAGCAATAAATTACATTTTTGTCATATTTCTGAATAACAATTTTTAAAATAAATACTCGTTCAAAGAGAATCAAACTCTCGGATGAAAATGTTGTAAGACAGTTACTAGAAGAGAGTGACGATGACAATAGTAGTTTGAGTGACTTCGACGACTCAGATGAGGATGGACACTACGTACCTGAAGAATCTGAAAGTTCATCTAGTGGTGAGTAAAATTACTTATTAATTTAATTCGAGCAACATTTATAAAGTTTAATATCGTAATATATTATAATAATATATAATATATTATATTGTAATATTAATAAATAACGTAATATGTTTTGGGAACCCATACTAAAGTCATGTCCATTTTAATATTCCAAACACACTATGCAGTGCACTACTATAAAAATAATAAAATAATAATGGTATGACGTGCAATATTTGTAAACCTGCCAAAAAATGCATAACAATGATTATAAAAAAATATTTTAATGTAAACAATAAAATAAATAAATATTATATTAAGTATTAATTTTAATTTATAGAAAAAAGTAATGTCGAAGATTTAGACGAATTCATATTTGCTCAACAACCTATTCCTTCTGTACCAGAATGGTGTGACGTAACTTACAACAACCAAACAAATATCGTTTTTAATGGCAATCCCGGGTTAAAAATCGATATTTTGCCTAATGCAACGGTTTGGGATTATTTCAACTTGTTCGTTACTGATGAAATAATTGATTTAATGGTGATAGAAACAAACCGAAATGCTGATAAAATACTAAATGGACGGAGAATAACTAAAGCCAGCGGATATTCAAAATGGACCCCTACTGACTCGGATGAAATTAAATTATTTTTGGGCTTACTTTTATGGATGGGGTTGGTGCCATTGCCCAGTATAAAAAATTATTGGAGCGTTAAAACTAGGTATAAGAATCACGTGGCTAGTAAGATTATGTCTAGAAATAAATTCGAACTTTTATTGAGGTTTTGGCATTTTTCAAATAATGAGGAAGCTCCGGAGAATGATAGAATTTTCAAAATCAGAAATTTAGTGGTTAAAATTGTTGATAATTTTCAAAAAACATTGGAACCTGATAGTATGATAGCAGTTGACGAAACAATGGTACCATTTAGAGCATGGGTTCTCAACCTTTTGAGGTCCATGCCCCCTTTCAAACTATTTTATATGTTCACGCCATATAAGGTGGTATCATAAAGTTGCTACTGAAATTATATTAGGAACATCCGTAGTAAATGCACTTATTATTTATAATACCAAAATACCTCAAAATAAAATGTCCATCAGTCATCACCCAATTTCGTGAAGCTTTGGTAGACCAAACTCTTGGATTGGACCAACCAAAAGGTACTCAAGAACATATAAAACTTTCTAGAAGCTCAATATCATTGAAACACAAATTTCAAGAAACATTCGAAAAATGTAGCCGAAACCGTAAAACACGTAAACGGTGCAGTTATTGTTATAAGGAAAATGCTGTAAATTTTGTCCTCTATGTCCTAGTGCTATTTTCAAAAGCATAACTACAATCATATAAAACAGGTAGGAATATACATTGGTTTTGAGGCAGCCCGCGGCCGTATGGCCTACTAGGAATAATATGGTGCGGCAGCTGGCGGCCTAATGACACTTAACGTGTTAAAGACGAGAATGATGATAATGATATCAAGACTCTCGATATTGCTATTCTTTTCAGTACCCGAGAACTATATAATATCACTTTAAATTATTTTTACACTAAATTCATAGTTTTATAATATTTATAAAATACTATACGCTTATTACTAGTAGAATATCCCACGTATTATTCTCATTACACTCAACTGTTTCATTTACATATTATATATTTCAAATACTATCACCTCTAACATATAGACTCAATGTTAATAACTTAAAATCTATTTTATATAGGTGAATATATATAATATTTTATATTTTAACCTATTACTACGATGTAATTATAGTAATGTAATTAATACCTTATAACTATAATTAAACTCTTTACTTATATGGTTATATAATATACTATATTAAATTGTATAGAGGGTTTGAGCATAGGTTTAAAGATAGAACATATTTTCAATCAAATTAAATATGATCGATTTATTATGATAAAACAACAATTATTTATACATGTTTATATTTTATATTATACATTATTGAAATCCGATATTAAACGACCGTCCACGCCGTCCTTTGAAAATTAGGTGCAACACCTTATCATCTCCACCATGGTTAAATTGAAGGATGTCTTAATCTTTAATCTTAATTGATCTGGGTAGATAAACTTCCATTATCCCTCCGTCATCACCAGCTTCTAACACACAGTGTACGGTGACACCGTACTGTGTCTCCCGATTCTCCATCCATATTATCCGGTATAGCTGTCCTATACTCATATCTCCTACCGACATGAATCTTGTATTAGACTGCTTTATCAGGTTATTCTTTAAAGCATCCATTTTTTGATTGTATGACTGTGAGTAGTAGATGAGTGATATCGAATATACTGATACAGTTCGTATTTATGCGATTGAAAATACCCTACCCTGATTATTAGTCATGCAAATATATATGACCCTAGAGGTGTATGGAGATGATCAGCGACGCTTCGTGTCATTAAAGCACTCAACTCTCTCTCTCATTAAGAATGATATACTTTCCATCATTAGAACAATAACAACAACAAAAACGGTCTCACAACCTTTATCATCATAGTGTTAATAGTGTGTTATATGGACTAAATGAATAATATTAAGCAATTAATACATATGTATGTGATATATCATAAAAATGATTTCGTTAGTGAGAATCAGTTATATAGTATCGGATCAATTGTAATAGATATGATAATAATATACTAAATAGACCCCACATTTTTAACTGTGAAAACATATTTCAATTCGAAAATTTGATTATAAAATGGTAATTCAGTTATTGTATATTCCTCAGTATATTTCTACGTAATATAACACTTAAAGTTTAATATTTTTACTAACAGAATAGTTAATAAATATCAAGTTAAGATATGAGATTTCATTTGAGGAGCTGCATATAATTTTATCCAACAGACATATCCGTATATCAAATCAATACAGACTGGGAGAAAATACGTAGTATGTAATTTTAGATTCTGAGTGAAACGATGAATGTATTGATTTTACAATGATGTGTGTTTTTTTATTTTTGTGTCTGTGTACACGATAAGTAGTCGAAATAATGCTTCGATTTTCTACTTCAGTATCTTGTTCGATTGGAAAGTGAATATCGTTGGTGCATTGAGGAGGTCAAAATTTAATATTCCCGATAGTTTTCACAAGCGTCGGGAAAAACAACATAAAAATCAAGGAAAAACGGGAATTTTTACGCAAAATCGCAAAATCGGCAAATTATTTTGAGTTAAGAATTCGTAAAAATTTTTCTTTTTAAATCTAAGATTTGAAAATTTAATACAAAATTACTCATAAGTTTGTCTACCTTTATCAATAAAAAAATCTCTACCGGACAGTCAAATTAAATTTTTATGAGCGTTTGAAATTCAAATTTTTACAACATTGGATGTTCACTCGATTTCTCATGTAGCGATTTCCTTATTTTGTTGTTATTCATAAACGAATAACTATAAATACATGAAAATTTCACTGAATGTTTATATTAGTATTTCCTATACACCATACAATTTTGAAAATATTTTGACTCTTTTTGAGCTATTTACGGATATTTTCATTTTTCAATTTTTTTAGTTTTTTTTTCTATGAATATCAATAAAGTTTTATCTGTTGTTCCAAAAAGTGTAAAAATTTAATAAAAGGCTCCTGATATATTGTTACAATATCAGTTGAAAAATATTAAAAATACATAGGCACAATTTTTTTTATAAGCATTTAAACATCGAATTTTGACAGAATTTTTCAAAATCTCGAAAATTATTAATCATTGTAATTAATAAATTATAAAATGTTCAGTTTTTATAGCTAAGGATTGAAAATTTAAAACAAGATTCCACGTAAGTAGTTAATTCTCTTACCAAAAAATCTAAAAAATATACAATCACAGTTTATTTTT